TACAGTGTTTATGACAGAGGCACATAATAACGTCATGTATTAAATGCAGTTCTGGTAACAGGTTCAGCTTCAGGTGTACCTTACTAGTCTTGTAAGCCAAATAAATAAAAAAGGAGTGAAGAACCAAGGACATAACATTTACCAGGATGGAATATCATAGACTGTCTGAGATGGCAGAAAGCCCTATTTGTGGATGTGATGAGAGCTATGATGAGAGCTCAGTGTCAGCAAAGAAATCAAAAAGTACTCTTAAATTACAGTTTAAATTGAACAATTGTTGTTGTATACCTTCAATCAAAGAAGCTTGCTCTGCAGTTGCAGGCTCTTCCAGGTGGTATCTCTGTCAGCCAGGGTTTTAATCACCTTCAACCCATCATTCTTTATCCACAAGCTGATCTCCTGACTGCTGCCTTGAGTTAGAGCTTGTGAACAGCACTCTCATCTGCTCAGCGCCCTCCCCAATTTTCTCCCCCGTTGAAGTCTAGCATAGATATTCAGTGAAATTGCTTATAAAGCTCCTCTTTACTTCTTTATACTGCCATATCCTGCAACCTGTATTTGCCCGTTCTCCAGAGAGAGTTTATAAAAATGCTTGCAAACAGTACAGTTTCACACTAGCTAAATTAATGTTCTGCGGCAACACTGCAGGATCAATTTTTTTTTACAGACTTATTATTTAAGAGTATTTTGTACATAACTGAGCTCTTCTACTTTAGAAAAAAATCATCAAGGCTAGTTATGAAGAAAGAGTAGGACAAAGTAGACCGTTAAGATTTGAATATTGCAACTTTGTGAAGAGATTCAATAGGTGAAAAATATGAGGTTTGGATGCAGACTTGTAGAGCGCAGTTGTTTAAGGCTATATACGTACACATGTAGTCGGTGCTACTTAAATGTTTCTCTCCGTGTGCTGAGTGATAGCTAGACTGCGTAGTTAAATCTCAATAATTCAAATTTTAGAGTAGAGTTAAGTTTCTGTTCAGGTATAGAAAGGTGATTGGAATAGGTGTGTCATTTATTCACTATGCCTTTTACCATTTTCCTGCAGCAAACAGGAATAAAATGGGCTGGAAGGGAAAGGAGTCAGTACAGGTAAAACGGCAGTCCTAGCAAAGAACCCTAACTCTTGAGTTTCTGAAAAGGATTTTTAAGAGCTCTTAAAAATACAGATGACCTCTCTCTGAGAACACACCTTCTAGTCCTTCACAGCCAAAAAAATAATCGCTAGCTCATGTTTGGATCTGATATTTATAACACTGAAAACAAGTATGGTATATAAGAGAGAGGTAGCATGAGGGTATAAAGCTCCAAGATATTGTTTGAACATTATCAAATGAGTCAAATGGGTGCTTATAGTAGCTCTAATTTGAAGACCATGTAGAACAAAGGCTTTATGTGATCTAATTCTCATAAGCGAGTAGACCTTCTACAGCATTTGTAACAAGATGAAAGTATGAATGCACTTCCCATGACAGGCTACATTCAGTTACAAATACAGCATATTGCTGTTAAATGACATTTATTTTTGCTGCAATGTTGTCAAAGAATACGTAAAGATGATACCTATGCACTCACGTACACACACATAAACATAGACATACATCCCTTACTAGAGCGGGATTTATAGAATGCTATTAAGATTTAGGATATTTTGAGGAGTCTGAAATGCATCCTTTACCACAAACTGAAAAGGCTATGGAAATGCAACAGTAAGCTAAGCTTAACTAACTAAATGACAAAGATATGCACTAGCTTCGGGCTGTCTTGCTAGCCTGTTGTAAAGTACTATTCGTACAGGCACACAAATGAAATATAGATATGTATGTTGATGTGGCGTGTTTCCGCATAGCACCGGAGTTGGAGATCCCGACAAAGTTGCGCAGTGCACTGCTGCCCCCTGGCGCAGCTTGATACAAGAAAGACTAAATATTCATTCCTGTATGTAGTGTCGGTGGCTTGACTAATTAGAGAAATGTTAGTAAATAAATCAAATTCAATTTTCGTATCTCACAAATTCTGAAGCCTGCTTAGAAGCGTGGCATTTCCAATATCAAGATGAGCAAGAGTCAGGAGAGAGCACTGTAGATTTCATGTAGTTTTCATGTCGTTTTCTGATGTCGTATCACAAAATTGATCAAGAGATGTATCAAGGGGTGTGAGATAGCTTTGCTATTCACAATACAAAACTTACTTGAGCAGTCATAGCATAGTGATTCACTATATTTTCACTGTGCTCCTTGTGTTTCCTTACCCGGTATAGCTAATAACTCTGAGCCAGTAGTTCTGCTAAGTGCTTGCTGGAGTTTTTCTTCTGGTATATCCTCTTCCCTGCATACCCACATTATTACTAGAACTCCCACTATTAAAAATTAATGTGATTTATCTGTTATTTTTTTATCTTCTAGAAGGGTATTCCGGGCAGACAATAAAGGAGTTGTCTTGGTTAAATTCCAAGCTGATCTCCCTCTTTGATATCCTACTAAATTCGAAAGCATTATATGAGACATATACCCACATATGCATTGCCTATTAAACTTCAGTTTTAAGTTGGAATGTCTGTAGAAAGGCATGAAAACAAAAACATTCCATGTACTCTACGAAAAATACATTTCATATAACGCTTTCTGGCTGAAAGTCAGCTTTCTCTGTTTTATTTAATCTGATTTACTTAATACGAATAATTTGTGAAACGCAAATATGGATCTGAATTTGGACTTTGAAAGCTGCAGTGTGGGAGTGTGTTTTCATTTCACGATCAAGTTCCAGGTAACCTTTAAACCTCTTAAGATCATTATGCATGCTAAAGCTTAATACGTGTTTCAAAGCTATTTCTAGAACAGCTTCAATTACCCAGTGCATTTACTGCCCTATAAAAATAATATCACATTAATACACATCATATGTGCAATGATTTATGGAATCTGCCTATGCAGAGTTATGAATGCTGGCTTATAAACTGATGTTGTACCTACACTGCAAAAGTGAATGATTAGACACTTGCTCATGTGCTTCAGCATATCTCTACCAGATGAAGAGCAATGAACAGTTATTAACTTGTGTGAAAGTTCTGACTAAACAGTAGGTACAGTAAGAAAGCTGTCTGAGTAAGGAAAGTACTTTTCACGGCGTTTTCTGCCAAGAGCTTGTGAAGAGGAGAGTGGGAAATAACTAGCAGCAGAGGACAGAAAATAGGTGTTGATAAAGAAAGATAGATTTACAAAGACCCTGAAGAACTGTTAGGGGAGAAAAAGAGTATTTTTTCAAAAAAAAAAAAAAGTATTTTTTCAGAATAGGAAGTTCTATGTTAATGCAAGACTAGACCTAGTCAAAGCAGATCAGAAAAATAATACCATGATCTGGAGGGCTAAAAAACATATCAGGATAGTAAAGGAGAGAAGCAAATTCACCCACCGACCGCAAATGGAGACAAGGGAATACATTTACCATGTTTCCTCAGATCTACTTCTTTCTCTTGTTACCATAGCATAAAGTGATTTCTTCTTTGGAATCCTTCATAAGGTTTTAGCATATTGAATGCCTCATTTGCCTCATATCCCTGAAAATTACACTGTAAACTTTAAGTAGAGGGAAGAATAAAAATCTGAGAAAGGCTGTTCTAAGTTGATGAAGATCATTTCTCTTTGAGACTAGGAAAACTGAGCTGCAGAGCCCCATTTCTGTGAAGAGATAATTGATAGAAAACTGTGCTCAGGAAAGGTGCCAGGGAGACAGGGGCTATACTTTCGGCCAAAGGAAGTTAAAGGGTGTATGAGTCCAGCATATTAGGAAACCTAGTCCAGCAGGCTGGCAGAAGCATTGGCTGAGCCTTACTTTTGCTCCATTGATGACCATAAACTTCTACCCAGAGATTCCTACACAAAGACCGAATATTATAGCTGCAATAAAGAACATCAGAAATTACAATTAATGTGGAGTTTGGGTGTAAAACAAGAGTTGCCTTTAATAACAAAGGATGATAGCAGCAATAACAACAAAAACAGAGAGCAAAACTAGAACCCTACTCCGGCTACTCCAGATATTTTATTTTCCTTTACACCACCTGTCATTTCTAATTTTAGGCTAGGTCTTCCCTTCTATTTTCCCTTTGTTTGCCAACCTCTGACTTCATATCCTTCCTGGTTTCAGTCTAACTATTTCCATTCCTCTCTCTTCAGTCATCCTCCTCATCTTCGATAATGTCGGTTTCCCAAAGAGGTCCAGTTTAGCTCTTTATCCTCTCATCTTTTTTCCCTTTTTTCCTCATTTACCTTTCAAATCTGAATTACCTCATTAATGCGTCAAAACAGACACAATACCAGCTTCTCTATTACTGCAGTAGCCTGACACTCTTGGCTTTCTATCAGTCATTCCCTCTTCCAGACACCACTTCATGTCTTTTAATGTATTTGTCCCCTACCATTCTTGCAAACTTCATCCAGGAGCAGAATTCTTCATGTACAGATTATTTTATACCCACTTCTCCCTCCTGTCTTTTTCTTTATGTCCATTGATTCAAATACTGATTCCTACCACTCAGGCTCTACAAACGTAATCTTTTGCCCCCCTCTCTACAATGTTCATCGTTCTAGCGTAGGTTTTAAATCAGAATCAGATTCTTCTGGTTTAGCAACCCTTAAGCTACTGAATAGGTTGGGAGAAATCCCATAACCATGCAGAAAGCAGAATTTAGATAAAAACAGGAACAAGAAATTCACCTGTTCCCTCAGTTCTCCTGCCACCTCATTACTTCTGTTCTTTCTCCACATTATATTGTCCTATTACTGTTGTCAAGCTGCTCACTTCCATTGCACCTTCTCTTTTTCTCTTTCTCCAGCAGGTCCATTCTCTTAAACTGAAAAATGTTTTTTTTAAAAAAAGCATGTTAATGCTATTCCATGATCATCAGCTTTCCACTGTGCTGAATACACTCAGATAATAAAATGCAGTCATCATGTGCTATAGGAAGGAGCGAAAAAAAAACCCCAAAGCATCAAAAATACTTTTAAATATGTTTACTAATTTCAAAATACTTAGTCATTCACTGTATGCATTTACACAGCATCACTACAGAACAGTGTTTCTTCTAAATAAAATATCCCAAACATTTATTCCTTTCACCATCCATTTCTTCAGTTTCTAACTCATAATGTTTCATGGCAACAAAGTATTGGACAAAAGTTTCACCTAATGCTTCCTTAATGCATGAATCTTTCTCAAGTGCAACAAGAGCATCTTCTAGTTTCAGAGGGACTGATGAAGGTTTCAGATCAGAAATGTGATTTTCTTCTTGCGGAATATCATACCTGAGTCCTCTCTTTACTCCATCTAGACCTGCAGCAACAGTAGCAGCGAGCACCAGGTAGGGATTTGCTGCAGCAGAACTTAATCTGTTCTCTATGTGAGTGCCTTTTCCATCATGACATTTGACATTAAAGGCACAGCTGTTATCATTATATGCCCATTTTGCATTTACAGTCTCTTTTGTTTCTTTACTGTATTTGGAATAAGGCTTACGGCAGCTGGTGGTAGGAGCCATCAAGCAGCTGATAGCTGCCGTGTGTGCCAAGAGACCTGACAACCAATTTTTTCCAACATCAGTGAGCTCCTCAGCTCCATAGCCAACAGAAAACAAATTCTTCTGCCCATTCAAATCCCACAGGCTATGTGAGAGAATCCCTGAGTTGTAGAATCCTGATTCTGAGAAAAAGCTAGCCACATAGTTATACTTCTTAGCCACCTCTTTAATGCCTGTTCTGAATGTGAAGGCACTGTCAGCAGCATCTATGCCAAACTCTGGATGAAAAGTGATCTCCATTTGTCCAGGCCCACTGGAAGAAGAAAAGCTTTCAATGTTGGCACCAGTATAATACATTCCTTCAATGAGTTCCTGAATGAAAGCCTGATCATGGTTATTTAGTATCGTTGCTGCAGGAAAAGATATTGTCTTCGAATTTACAACCTCAGTAATGCCATAAATACAAAATTCGTAAGTGAAGGCAGAGCATAGAGAAAAGCCGTTGTCCTGAAGCTGGCTCAGCTGTTTCTTGGCAATGTGCCTGGGTGAGGTCATTAGAGGGTTGCCCAGTACAGTGAAGGAATCACATATCACTCGAGCAGTCTGTTCAGTCCAGGGTAGAATTCGAAAAGTCGCTAAATCAGGGCTCAGGATTATATCACAATTAAAATTGGTTGCATTTATGTAATCTATTTCACTATCCTTAGGATTCAGGGTCAGTTCAAGATAACTTCTGGGCATGGAAACACCGTGAATTGCTTTCTCCTAAACACAAAGTCAAAAGATAGTTTATTAAATGAGAGAAGAACTCAGCAGTATTTTTTATAAGTAATATATATAAAACTTAGATTCTCAGAAGGAACAATAGCATTTCTCATAAAAGAACTCTGAAAATGCAGCCATCACTGAAGTCGACAGCAACAGCCGCAACAGCCAACTAATATGTTATTAAGAGTAGTAGGAAAACCCTGGCCTCAAATATCCCAGTGATCATTTTTTAAATTCTCTTAAAGAACTAAAAAATTCTTCAGCACCTAATCTTCCATGGTCTTCATGGGCATCAGCACCAAATAAATGCAATTAGGTGTAAAGCCTTGCAAGTCAAAATTTTATCTCCCATATTTCTATTAGGCTCTCACATCCTCTGTGCATTTGTTTTACATTGATCCAAGTGACCAGAAGACTCAAGGCAGTAGAAAACCAGGCTTGATCTCTCTTTAAGTGCTATAACATATACCACACCAGTTTTCAGATGCAAAGTCTAACCCAAAATTTTCCCTTTCTAGATTTTTTTAGTTTGGCAAAAAAATACGAAGAAGCATTTCCAAGTGCTAAGTTATTCTAATGTTTCAGTGTTTCCCTTTCGTAACAGATAGCAAACTGGATTAACTCATAATTCTGCTCTCCTCTGCATTTGAAGAGAGAGCTTCCACTTACATAAATGAAATGTAGATAGCATCCCCAGGACTTCCTTCAAGCAAGCACTTCTATAGCTTACCTTACAGCTGAACCATTAATTTATGAAAACTGCAATTATGCCAAGTTCTATCAAGCGGAATTTGGATCACGTTTACATCTTTCCTTCATTGTGCTAAGAGAAAGGATTACCATCTGAGTGAAGAGACGAGACAAAATGAACCTAACAAGGTGTCAAGCTCAGAACTGATAAAATGAAATTTTGTCTATTTGAATGTAAATATATTGTCTTCTCTTAAAATAAAAATAAAGTCTGCCTTCTCTTAAACACTTGTCAGTCCAGTGGTCACAATTCTCCCTGTGTAACACGTTTTCAGCCCATAATGAAAACTGCACTATATGGTGAATACTGCTGTAAGATATCTAAGCTGTTAGCTCAACACTAAAAAGGCACTGAAGGTGACTACCATGTAGTACCACCTCCCCTCCCTACTTCCATCCCCTCAAAAAGGGTACATCGTTTCTCTTAGAAGAAAGTAAAGGGAATTACTCTCACTCTCTCTCTCTATATAACATGTATATAGACTTCCCTTATTTCAGTGTTCACAGATTTAGACTGTTATTCAAAGCTTCAGTTTGTTTGGCTAGTAAGTAAGGTAAACATAAAAAGCTGACTTTGAACAATCTCAAATAGGCATTTGCAGTTTGATTTAGCAGCTGAAAGAGAAGTTGCAATCATCTCTTACAAACATTAAAATGACAGAGCAAAAGTTGATTTTTATAAAATCCAGATAACATCAGAGAGATTAAATTGTATGGTGATGATACAGTTGAAAGGTGTAGCAAAATCTAGAAGGAAAATAATGAAGACATGGCTTAGACTTCAAAAGGAGCTTGAAACAAAATGTTCTATGTCTTATCATGTCAGTATCTTGTTTCATGATCACTCAGCAAAGTATGAAATATTCATAGTGGTATGTGAGTGAAAATATAATACAGCTATGCACATGAAGTATCACAGAAGGAATGTGCTGAAATGGGTCAAGGATACAAACTTTGAGAACCGTTTCATAATTTGGTTCTTATTTTCTGAACCATCAATATGACAAACACTGCTATTAAGTCATCACATAACCCAATGGAATTTTCTTATCTGATTAAAGACTATCAGATTTCTCCTATCCAAAGTGATTTTCAGGTAGTCATTTTGCTTTTTTTAGTGTTTGCTCTTTTCCTTTTGCAATTTACTAATATTCAGTAAAATAAAATCTTTACAACTGTGGTGAGCCTGAAAAAATAATCCTGAGGAAGGGGATTATTAGAAGTGAGAAAAACTGAAATTACTAGCCTTACTTAATTAGATGACTATTTCTGTGGAAGAGAGGAATAGATGATTATGCTGATGCAAAAAGCCCACATATCCTTTGGGAACATTAGCAAGGGGAAGGAACAGAACATTTCTTCTAAGTTTGAGTTTCAGCCTCCCTTATGAAAAAAACATACAATATAAATTTAGGATAGGGCCAGGAAAACACACAAAGGTACAACTAGAAGCCAAAAAACTTACATGAAAAAAGCGAGAAGGAATGTTCTTTGATCTTGACACGCCATGGAGGTCTATTGATTCAAATCTGACAAACTGTACATTATCCCTGGCCATCTGCTGCTTAATAAATTCAATATGAGAGAACTGGTGAAGAAGAGTTGGACTTCCAAGGCCGTTTATATCAGGCTCTCTGCTGGACACTATGAATGAAGAGGAATGTTCACGTCAAATAAAATTATGAATGCTGCAATACAAGCTGTTCTTCTAAAAAGTGCGATAGTGGCAAACTGTGACAGAGTTTGTGAAAATAAAAATAACAAAAATACATGAGTCTCAAAACATTTTTGTAAATAAAGATGTATTTGTTCCCCCTGAGGACCACCAGTACAACATCTCTTATATTTTGGAATGGTCTATAATTTGAATGTTTTTTCAAGATGATGGCGAATACAGCAGAATCATGCATTTCTGAGGATACTTAATTGGTTTGTTAGGTGATTTTAGAAGCACAAATAGTTGAAAATTTCCCACTGAAAGCTGACAGAATTCAGACGCTATACTTGACATTAACGCGTTTCAAAATTGGATGGTTACAGGAATATGATAAAAAGAGCACTTCTCATCTACTAAACCTTTCTCAATACCTTCAGAGGAGGCCTGCAGTCTTCTCCACCACAGGCAGAGGACATTTAAGACAAGTTTGTGGATTTGCTGATACTGACCTCTCTTCTTTACTGTATTACAGCTGTAAGACTGTAAAAACTTCTTCAAATGAAAGCAATAATATTTGAGTATATCTTATATAATGGAGCAGAGAACTAGGGACAATTACTTCCTTTCACAAACATCTTGATCTTTCAGTCTACTTTTACTTTGAGTATCTTAGTATTTTTATTCCAATTAAACTGCATAAAGTGTTAATTTCATTTCACTGCAATAAGCTAAACCAAGTGCAGAATTTGATATTAAGATATGAAAAACGTGAAAAAATGTTTCTTTCTAGCTTTCTAGGAGGAAAGTCCACCATTCTTCCAAGGAGCCTGAGAATGTAATCGGATGAACTTTAGCAGATCTTACAGACCGACAGCAGATTTACCAACAGCAGCTACTCATGACCACCTTTCAAGTGGAAGTTACAAGCTTCCTCGCTGAGACACCACTAAGGACGATATGACCGCGCCTAATCTCTCCAGTATGAAATCTCCCATATCAGCAGGCATAAACAGATCTTTGTGATCTCTCGTTTGGGGTAGCTAGGACAGCCAGCTGAGAGGCTGCAAGGAATGCCTGAATGCAGTAACCTGTCCAGCTAACCCATCACAGAGTTGTCTGATTTTTCCTTGAGAAGGCAGCAAACTCTTCCACAGTCATAGACTACCTAGAGCCTTTGACGATTTTTTAGAGATATCTTATGTCAGCTTCAGATGCCAAGGAGTTAACAAGGATATTGAAGGTTTTAGGTCAGCAAAGTAAGAAAAGGTAAGTAATAACATTGTTTCTTGAGGAATGGCAGGTAAAGGAGCAAACAAGACGAGAGTTTAAGTACATATAAAAGTCTAGAAAAAAATAGAATAAAAACCAAAAAAGCAGAACCAAGAAACAAAGATGTTTGTCACATCCACTTCTCTTCACGTTTTCTATCTCCTTTTTCCTCTGTCTTCTATAAGCACTAGGACAGTATGTCTATAACAATATGCACATGAATAAGGAAGTTCTGTTCAAATATTTTGTGTAACTGTCACTCTGTTACAGATGCTGCCAAGGCATCAACGGCGAACAGGGAGTACACGTAAACCCGCCTTATCTTATGTATGTCATCCAAGTAATAGCTATTCCACATCAGTCATCCCTTAAATATTTTAGAACTCAAATGTTTACTGACATTTAGTAGACTTGACCTTGTGAATCTGACAAGCAATTAACAGTTTATTAACAGATAACAAACCATGCCTATTTATTAGATGGATAGAATTCAAAAAAAATTCTGAAAGTCTTCCTACAGACTACAGCCAGTGATATTTTCTTCAGCTCCAGGGACAGAAGCCTAAGTTTTTGCCTCTGAAAAAGCAGTGGTCTATCCTGTACTCTACAGGTGTTTAATTTCCTGTGCAAAGATGGTAGACACTTCCTGCTTAGAGATTAAATTACAATTCTGTCACATGGAGCATTTTTTTCTTCATTAGAAAAAAATAAATATTTTCATATTTTCATATTTTTCAACTAAAGTATAACTGGCTACCCCCGAAAGCAGAATGTTTTCAAATTCTCATGTAAATTTTGCAAGCATTTCTATAATGGTCTGAAAGGTCAGGTGTCATATTTGCACCCACTGAACATATATTTTTCAGTTAAAAACATATAACGTAGCAAAAACAACAATTTCAACTCTGACCAAACAATTCTTTAATTCAGTATTCCTAAAAGATAAATATGACAGAAAATCAATTTCAAAGAGTGACATAAATGTGGTATCACTCGTATTAATAAAATATGAATTAGCTTAAAAAGCAAAGCTACAAATTACATAATTTAAACATGTATAAAAAATTATTTGAATAAATATATAATTGTATTACATGAAATAATTAACAGAAATTTCCTATAAGGTGACATTTCTTAAAAGAACAGAACATTAAGCAACCAAAATGATTAACCGAAGAAATAACAATTTTCTTCTTGAATTTGTCTTACAATGATTCATGATAGAGCTTTTCAGATGATAAGACTAAAATTTATTTGTTGGTCTAGTATTAGTCTAAAATTAGGCTAAATACAAGTCCAGAATGGCCACTAATCTACAGACTAGTACTTATTTATTTACAGTAGGCTTAATTCAAAATCCATCAGAATCAATAGAAACACTCCCACACCTTTTACCGTACCTCTTTTACAGACAGATCACCTTTCATGATATCGTTTATAGATCATTTTTCCCATTGAAATGCTAAGTGTTTTAAATTATATGAGAGAGAAAAAAAATAATCATGACTTAATATCTCTAACTAATTTTGGAAGTATAAAAGGGAATTTTTTCCTTAAATATTTAGTAAATAACTAAGAACAGTACTTATATTTTTCCAACATTAGTGTTAAAATATAATTCGTTAGTAGCTAGTAATTAATCACTGGCAAACTAAGTCCATGAAACCAGTGATTACTAAAACTGAAAAAGGTACAGGACTAGTTGGTTTAGATACACAGTCTAGTAGTCTTACATTCTTACAGAGGAGTGTTGTTTTCATAAGTGTAATTGTTTTCATAGTTCAATAGGTATTTAGAAATAATGGCATCTTCACTTCCACTTCATAAAATCGAATTATGGAAATGTAGAAGTAAATTTCACAAAAGCCTCAGATTTGTGGCAAATTATTAAATTTTACAGTAAGAAAGGGAAAGTAAGTTTAGATTTTCATTTTAAAAATCAAAAATAAATTCAGATTGGCCAACATTTTTAAAGCAAAAAGATACATATAGATCCTTGGATGTTTATATCAAATCAGTAGTGTACAGAAAAGCATGTAATGTTTGTTTTTATATGGTTGCATCCGTATTTCTCATTTAAGGTACAACTGAGCAACAACTAATATTACTTTGTTTTGTAATTACTACAGAATATCTACAAGTATATACAAAATATCTATAAATATTACAAAAATGCAAAAATATCTACAAATTAGACAGCTAACATATTACTATTCGAAGAGTGTTGCCATTCTTAAATCATTAGTATTGAAATCATTCCTGAGGAATCTGATTCCTGTGTACGCCTGGCCTCTGGCTAGGGCAAACAGTTAACATTAGTTTTATCTTCTCAGCAACAGAAAAGTACCATGACAGAAGAAAGTACTCATGTACCAGATCAATCTGTCATTATATGCTGTTCAAAGAAACTCTTCCTTATGGTCCCTTATTAAATAAGCACACTGCGTCTAAAGCAAACAATTTCTCAGCTCTCTAAGAGGTGACTGTGTCAATGTGATGAAATGAAAAGAACATGCTACATGTTGCCAGGGGACTTAATGACAAAAAAAAGCTGACCCAGCGAATGTAGTAATATTGAAAAGTCTTTGCTGAGAAATATGAGCACCAATGTAATGCAAAGCAATAACATCAGAAACCGGCAGTAGATATGCATGAGGCATTGGAAAAGGAGATATGCTTCCATCCTTCCCCCACAGTTGCTCCCACCTGCTCCCTTTTCAGCAGCACCAGCTGTGCCAGATATGTTCCCTCCTGATACAGGCCTGCTGCAGTCATGCAGCTGCTCAGCACCCTTCTCCTGCCCCATTTAGATAGGGGCTGCATACATCTGGGTCCCATACATTAGAATACGCAGCCTGGTGCTCTGTTGCACATTATGATATCTGTTATTGTCTCAGAGCTTTAGGGAAATAAAAACCTTAGCAAGCATAGGAATTGTTATGCCAGTCAAGTCAGTGATTCATCAAACTAGTTCTGTCTTTATTGCTGGTTATTACCAGAAAAAGCAAGACATCCTTTGTAAAATAGTTATAATCTATCTAAACAGAACACTTTTTGAAGATCCTCATCAAAAAGGTTGTCTCATGATTAGAAGCAGGAGGGTTTATATCTAAATTTATTTTGATTTTGGATTAGTTTTCTTCTTCATCCTTAGAAATCTAACACTCGGTGCTGTTATGGCCTATGTGAATGTTGACCCGTTTTATAAAAACAGATACTTTACAGTGATGACATCAGGTAGTAATGAGTTTTACAGAGTAATCATACATCTACTGAAAACATCCTCTAAATTCCAAGGAAAAACCTTTACCTACTAATTTAAATATGGCTGCTCATCCTTACGCAGCTCCAGTTTGTGTATTTAAGCCAATGTGCTTTGTTTGTACAACACGTTACTTAGTGTGCTCACATTTGTCCTAAACATTAGCAGCCATTTTTTTTCTTTAACTTCATATGACAGCTTTTCTTGTGTTATACTTTATTCTTCTTGTTAATATCTACAGTTTGCCTTCTCTATGCCCATCTTTTTTTTAACATGGTAAGGAACAATGACTACTGGCTTACATTTGAATAGTACTATAGATTTGAATAGTGATTCAGAAGCATTTATAGTTGAAAATATTACATAACATGTAATTTCCATTTCTTTTTCACCCCAAAATAATTTCACTGAAAATGTTTACAGTTTTGATTTCTGCAGTCAAATGCATAAAGAGGT